TATTCCGAAGCCAGGTAGGATTAGAATATATACTTCGGGGTGGCCAAAGAATCAAAATAAGTGTTGGTACAGGATTGGGTCGCCTCCTCCTGCGGGATCGAAAAAGGTTGTGTTTAGGTTTCCGTCAGTCAATAGTATGGTAATTCCGGCTGCTAGGACGGGTAGTGATAGTAAGAGTAATACTGCTGTAACTAGGACTGATCATACGAAGAGGGGTGTTTGGTATTGGGTTATAGCGGGTGGTTTTATATTAATAATGGTCGTAATGGAATTGATGGCTCCAAGGATTGAGGATACGCCGGCTCGATGTAGGGAGAAAATGGTAAGGTCTACTGAGGCTCCTGCATGTGCCAGACTTCCCGCTAGAGGGGGGTATACAGTTCAGCCCGTGCCTGCGCCGGCTTCAACTATTGAGGATGCTATTAGTAGTAGAAAGGAAGGAGGAAGTAGTCAGAAGCTTATATTATTTATACGGGGAAAAGCTATGTCAGGTGCTCCAATTATTAGAGGGACTACTCAATTTCCGAACCCACCAATTATGATAGGTATGAAGAAAATTATCACGAAGGCATGGGCTGTTACTAGTACGTTGTAAACTTGGTCATCTCCGATTAGTGTGCCAGGTTGACCCAGTTCAGTGCGAATTAATAAGCTTAGGCCAGTGCCTACTATTCCTGCTCAGGCACCACATAACAGGTATAAGGTGCCAATATCTTAGTGGCTGGTTGAGAAGAGTCAGCGATTTATGAACACAGGTAAAATGGCCGAGAGGCATTAGACTGTAAATCTAAAGACAGGAGTAAAGTCCTCTTTTTGCCAAGTCCTGTGGTGAATTATCATTTTGAATTGCAAATGCAAGGAAGCAGCTTCAATCCTGCCGGGACTTCTCCCGCCTTTTTTTTCTCGCGGCGGGAGAAGTAGATTGAAGCCAGTTGACTAGGGTATTTAGCTGTTAACTAAAAGTTCCTGGGAGATGTATCCCTCCAATCTAGTGAGGATTTAGCTTAATTAAAGTGTTTGATTTGCATTCAATTGATGTAAGATACGGTCTTGCAATCCTTATTAGGCAGGGGTTAAGTAAATTACACTTGCTTAGGGCTTTGAAGGCTCTTGGTCTGATTTAACCTAAACTCCTAGAGTAAAATGGAGAATGCTGGTGTGAGGGGTAAGAGTACTGTGGATAATACAATTGCTGTTGGTAGAAGGGTTATTCGTTTTGTGGAGTGAAATTGTCATTTTATTTTTATGTTGTTTGTAGAGGGAAATAGGGTTAATGCTGTGGAGTAGGCGAGGCGTATGTAGAAATATAGGTTGAGTAGTGCTGTGATGGCTATGAAGGTTGGTAGAACAAGAATATCGCTTTTTGTTAGTTCTTGAATAATTATTCATTTGGGTATGAATCCTGTAAGTGGGGGGAGTCCTCCCATGGAGAGTAAGGTGAGTATGGTGAGGGTTGTGGTAACAGGCATTCTATTTCATGTTTGGGATAATGATAATGTGGTGGTGGTTGAGTTTTGGATGAATAACATGAATATGGTGAAGGTTATTGTGATGTAGATTACTAGATTCAGTAAAGTGAGGGTTGGATTATATAGTAGGATAGTTGTTATTCATCCTATGTGGGCAATTGATGAGTAGGCTATAATCTTTCGAAGTTGCGTTTGGTGTAGTCCGCCTCAGCCTCCGATTAGGGTAGAAAGTAGGGATATAGTAAGTATTAGGTGTAGATTAATTGATGGTGAGATTTGATAGAGGATTGAAATGGGTGCGAGTTTTTGTCATGTAAGTAGGGTTAGTCCTGTGGTTAGGGGGACACCTTGTGTAACCTCTGGTACTCAGAAGTGAAAGGGGGATAGTCCTAGTTTAATAGCCAGGGCCATTGTTATTAGGATGGATGCTACTGGGTCGAATAATTTTGTGATGGTTCATTGGCCGGAGTGTAGTAGGTTAATGATAACTGCTAGTATGAGTAGTGTGGATGTGGTGGTTTGTGTTAGGAAATATTTAGTTGAGGCTTCTGTGGCTCGGGGGCTAGAATTTTTTATTATGATGGGAATGATGGCTATTGTATTTATTTCTAGTCCAATTCAGGCGAATAGTCAGTGGGAGCTGATAGTTATGATTACTGTGCCTAGGATGAGGGTTATTAGGATGATGAGGAGGATGAACGGGTTACTAGTATGGGAAGGATATAAACCAACATTTTTGGGGTATGGGCCTGAGAGCTTGTTAAGCTGACCTTACTATAGACATGGTAGCACGGAGAATTTTGAATTCTTAGGGGTAGGTTCGATTACCATTATTCTAGAAATAAGAGGGTTTGAACCTCTATTATTTACTCTATCAAAGTAACTCTTTTGTCAGACATATTTCTTTTATGTTTGAGGGGGGATGCCTGCTGTTATAATGGGTAGTGAGACGTGTCACATACAGAGGGCTAGTGTTAGGGGAAGGAAGTTTTTTCAGAGTAGATGTATTAATCATATCGGAATCGGGGGTAGGATGCTCGAATTCATAGGAAAGATATTGTGAGTAGTAGTGTTTTGACAATGAGGTTTGTTGTGTGTAGTTCTGGTGTGTAGGGGTCGTGGAATGCTCCTAGAAAGAGGGTAGTTGTAAATATATTTATTATGATGATATTGGCATATTCTGCTAGGAAGAATAGGGCGAAAGGGCCTGCTGCATATTCCACATTAAAGCTGGAAACGAGCTCTGATTCTCCTTCTGTTAGGTCAAAGGGGGCCCGGTTAGTTTCTGCTAGGGTAGAAATGAATCATATTATGGCCAATGGTCATGAAGGAAAAAATAATCATAGTTGTTCTTGTGTTGTGGTTAATGTGGATAGAGTAAATGAGCCGTTTATTAGGAGTACTGATAGGAGGATAATGGCTAGTGTTACTTCATATGAGATTGTTTGTGCTCCTGCTCGGAGAGCTCCAATTAGTGCGTATTTTGAGTTGGAAGCTCAGCTGGATCATAGGATAGAGTAGACGGCTAGGCTGGATATTGCTAATATGAATAGTACTCCTAGGTTTATGTTGATGAGGGGGTATGGTATGGGTAGGGGGCTTCATATTGTGAGGGCTAGATAAGGCAAGTATGGGTGCGATGATGAATATAGCGGTGGAGGATGTGGCTGGTCGTAGGGGTTCTTTAGTGAATAGTTTGATTGCATCAGCGAAGGGTTGTAGCAGGCCATGTGGGCCTACGATGTTTGGTCCTTTTCGAACTGTATGTAGCCTAGGATTTTACGATCTACTAGTGTTAGAAATGCTACAGCTAGAAGGATAGGGAGAATGAGTGTTAGGATGTTATTTATAAACATTTTGTTGGGGAGAGGATTTGAACCTCTGGGTGTAAAAGCTTAAGTTTTATGCAATTGCCGTACTCTGCCACCTCAACAAAGCCCTGGTCTTGGGCAGAGTATATTTGCGCTAGTTTATTGAGATTAGATCATTAATTGTTTGAAGGTGCTTTTCTGAAGTTGGCCTTATTTCTCTTGTCCTTTCGTACTGGGAGAAATGCGTAATAGATAGAAACCGACCTGGATTGCTCCGGTCTGAACTCAGATCACGTAGGACTTTAATCACTGAACAAACGAACCTTTAATAGCGGCTGCACCATTAGGATGTCCTGGTCCAACATCGAGGTCGTAAACCCTATTGTCGATATGGACTCTAGAATAGGATTGCGCTGTTATCCCTAGGGTAACTTGTTCCGTTGATCAAAATTTTGGATCAATAAGTGATACTATGCTTTGGCTAGTAGGCCTAGGCTTTAATCACTCGGAGGTTTTTTTGTACTCCGAGGTCACCCCAACCGAAATTGTCAGCCCATATAAAACTTTGTTATCCCTTGGCGGTTTTATTTTGTGATTTTTGGGTTGATTAATTGAAGCTCTATAGGGTCTTCTCGTCCTATTTTATTATCCCCGCCTCTTCACGGGGAGGTCAATTTCACTGATTAAAAGTAAGAGACAGTAAAACCCTCGTGTGGCCATTCATACAAGTCCTTATTTAGAGAACAAGTGATTATGCTACCTTTGCACGGTCAGGATACCGCGGCCATTTAACGATTGTCACTGGGCAGGCAGAGCCTCTAATACTGGTTATGCTAGAGGTGATGTTTTTGGTAAACAGGCAGGGTTTGTGTTTGCCGAGTTCCTTTTACTTTTTTAAATCTTTCCTTAATGCACGCCTGTGTTGGGTTAACAGTGTATTTAATAAATAATTTAGTGTTGGTTTATATTTATTAACTGTTAATTATCAGTATATTATCAGTTACTGATGTAAGCTTGTGCGAAGAGAAAAATTTCTTGTTACTCATGTTAACAGTGTTACTTCTATAATTGAATAGATTAGTCCAATAATCAGGCTAGGAGTTAATTTATTTATTGTTGAAATTAAAACGTAGTTTTGTTGTTGAGCTTCAACGCTTTCTTAATTGGTGGCTGCTTTTAGGCCAACTATGGTTTAGGTTTATATTACTCTCTAGTAAAGGTTGTATCCATTTCTAAAAAGCTGTACCTTTTTAGACTAACAATATACGTTAAAATTTGATGTGGGGCTTCCCTGGTGGCGCAGTGGTTGAGAGTCCGCCTGCCGATGCAGGGGACACGGGTTCGTGCCCCGGTCCGGGAAGATCCCACGTGCCGCGGAGCGGCTGGGCCCGTGAGCCATGGCCGCTGAGCCTGTGCGTCCGAAGCCTGTGCTCCGCAACGGGAGAGGCCACAACAGTGAGAGGCCCGCGTACAGCAAAAAAAAAAAAAACAACTTGATGTGGTTTTTAGTATTGTTTAATGTTGAACTGAAATTCCTTTCTTGGACAACCAGCTATCACCAGGCTCGTTAGGCTTTTCACCTCTACTTATAAGTCTTCTCACTATTTTGCCACATAGATGAGTTTGTTCTAGTTACTGCTTGTAAGTAGCTCGTCTGGTTTCGGGTAATTTAGCTTAAGGTCTCTTTGCTAAGTTATTACTAGTTAAGTCATTATGCAAAAGGTACAAGGGGTAAGCTTTGCTTTTTTTTACTTTTAATAATTCTTTCATCTTTCCCTTATGGTACTTTCTCTATAGCGCCATTGATGACTAAATTTCTATCTCCTATACTTTAGATGTATGGTAAATGTTTTATTTGATTAGTTTATGGTCGTAGCAGTGGAGAGGGTATGGGCTAGGTATAGTTCAAGATATACGGGTTGTGGAATCTTCTAGGTGTAAACTAGATGCTTTGTTTAAGCTATATCTTGTTTTATCCAAGCACACTTTCCAGTATGCTTACCTTGTTACGACTTGTCTCCTCTCGTATAGTTGCTTAGCATGGGTTAGTGAACTGGGGCTTTGCTATGATACTTGAGGAGGGTGATGGGTGGTGTGTGTGTGCTTCATGGCCTTATTCAATTAAGCACTCTACTCTTAATTTACTACTAAATCCTCCTTTGGTTTTTAGATTTCATAAAAACTTTCGTGTGGATATAAGGGGTGTTCTTAATATAGAAAATGTAGCCCATTTCTTCCCATCCCATAGGTTACACCTTGACCTAACGTTTTTATGTATGGTAGTTATGCTTACTTTCGCTCCCTTTTAGGGTTTGCTGAAGATGGCGGTATATAGACTGAAGTAGCAAGGGTTGGTGAGGTTAATCGGGGTTTATCGGTTACAGAACAGGCTCCTCTAGAGGGATACGAAGCACCACCAAGTCCTTTGAGTTTTAGGCTGTTGCCAGTAATACTCTGGCGAATAGTCTTGTTTTGGGACTATTTAAGTTTACGACTAAGCATAGTGGGGTGTCTAATCCCCATTTGGGTCTCAGTTGTCATGTATTCAGATTGTACTAAAGTCACTTTCGTGGTTTGGCTTAGTTTTAATTATGGCTTTTTACAGCTTAATTAGGATTTGACTTTATTTTGTGTGATTCCTTAACACTCTTTACGCTGGGTCTCTATTAATTTGGGTCAATCGTATGACCGCGGTGGCTGGCACGAAGTTTACCAACTAGCTAACATAACTTAGTCAAACTTTCGTTCATGGCTTAATTTTTATCACTGCTGTGTCCCGTGGGGGTGTGGCTAAGCAAGGTGTCGTGAGCTGCTAGTGCAGTGTGCTTGCTACCCGCTCCTTGTGATCTTTATGATTTGGAGGGCATTCTCACCGGGTGTGGATGCTTGCATGTGTAAGTCTGTTAAGAATTAATAGAAAGGCTGGGACCAAACCTTTATGTTGATGGGGCTGGCGAGCCCATCTAGACATTTTCAGTGTCTTGCTTTATGAAAAATTTAAGCTACATTAACCTATGGGGTGTAAAAGATGTTCGTATAATTTCATTATGGGGCTTGTGTCAGATTTAGTATTGATTTACGAAAAAAAAGATTCGTGGATCTAGGGACGAAGCTGTCTAGGGGGGTGGTGAATATCTAAGCAGACGGTCAGTTTTGTAGGGGGTAAGGGGGGTTTGGACCCCTATGAGATACAGTTTTTTGAGCCCGGGGGGAATAGTGGAGTACTATGTCCTGTGACCATTAATTTAACTGCACACGTTGGTTGTGCTACTCAAGTCAAAAATACATACAAGTCCAGCTACAATTTGCTTGACTGTGACGAGACCTTTTAAGGTCATAGCTGAGTCTGTGCAGGCCCCCCCCCCACACACACCAAAAATAAAAAATACCAAATGTATGGAATCTCAGTTATGTGTGAGCATGGGCTGATTAGTCATTAATCCATCGAGATGTCTTATTTAAGGGGAACGAGTGGGCGATTTTAAGTTAAAATGGTCCTGAAGTAAGAACCAGATGTCTTATAAAGATCACCGTTAGCTACCCCCACGAGGTATGGGCCCGGTGCGAGAAGAGGGATCCCTGCCGAGCGGGTTGCTGGTTTCACGCGGCATGGTGATTAAGCTCGTGATCTAATGGAGCGGCCATAGTGTTAGTGGATATCAATTTATTTAATGACATGTACTATGTACGATCAATAATATGTAATATGTAAAATTAATAAAATTTAATACGAGCTTTAACTGACCGTATGGAAAATAAATGAATGCACAGTAATACATAGCATGTACACGTAAATATTTACAGGAAGACGCTGTTACTGGTATGTGGACATACATATGCATGTAATATGAACAACAGAAATGTCTTAAAATAAAGTACTTTCAATACTGACATAGTACCGTAGTGTTGTGGTTATTCTACAATAAACTTTTTCAAGGAATAGTTTATGTAGAATTCCAGCTTTGGGTGTTGGTGGTGAGGTTTAATACCTCTTCCTTGAGTCTTAGGGAGGGATGAATTTCTCCTTTTCCGGTTTACAAGACCAGGGTATTTTGTTATACTACAAAGACTCTTCATTTTAGGAGTTTGTTTTCGATAAGGCTAGTTACTGGTATTAATACTAGGATTAGGAGAAAGTATAGGATGGATGCTAACTGACCTACAATAATGCATGGGTGTTCTACGGGTTGGCCTCCAATTCATGTTAAGGTTAGGAGGTCTGCAACTAGTACTCAGAATAAGAGTTGGCTAAAGGGTCGGAATATTATGCTTCGTTGTTTAGATGTTTGGAGTATTGGGATGAATATTAGGATGAGGATGGAGAGTAGTAGTGCTAATACTCCTCCTAGTTTATTAGGGATTGATCGTAGAATTGCGTATGCAAATAGAAAGTATCACTCTGGTTTAATGTGTGCTGGGGTGCTGAGTGGGTTTGCTGGGGTGTAGTTGTCAGGGTCACCTAGTAGGTCGGGTGTGAACAGGGTTACTGCGAGTAGGGTTAAGATTAGTAGTAAAGCACCTAGAATGTCTTTGATTGTGTAGTAGGGATGGAATGGGATTTTGTCTATATTGGATGGAATTCCTGTGGGATTATTAGATCCCGTTTCGCGAAGGAATAGTAGGTGGACGGCTGCTAGTGCTGTAATGATAAATGGAAAGATAAAGTGGAAGGCGAAGAAGCGTGTTAGTGTTGCTTTGTCTACGGAAAACCCACCTCAAGTTCATTCTACTAAAGTAGTCCCGATATAGGGGATTGCTGATAGGAGGTTAGTAATAACGGTTGCGCCTCAGAATGATAATTGTCCTCAAGGTAGGACGTAACCTATGAATGCGGTAACTATAACTGTGAATAATAATAGTACACCAATATTTCATGTTTCTTGGAAGGCGTGGGAGCCACGTCCAATGTGAGCATAAAGGCAGATGAAGAATATAGAGGCTCCGCCTGCATGTAGGTAGCGAATGATTCAGCCGTAATTAACGTCTCGGCAGATGTGTGTGACGGATGAGAAGGCAGTTGAGGTGTCTGGTGTGTAGTGTATTGCTAGGAATAGGCCTGTTAAGATTTGTATGATTAGGCAGAGACCGAGTAGGGAGCCAGAATTTCATCATGAAGAGCTATTTGATGGGGTGGGGAGATCAATAAATGTATCACTGAGGATTTTGATTAGTGGGTGTGTTTTTCGAATGTTGGTCATTGGTCATGGTTGAAGTCCATGTGAGAATAATGATGACATACATTGTTTTTATTATAAGCATTACTTTTGTAATTAGTCTTGTGGGGGTTTCTTCAAAGCCTTCGCCTATTTATGGGGGTTTAGGGTTGATTGTGGGTGGTGCCGTAGGGTGTGGGATTGTTTTCAGTTTTGGTGGTTCATTTTTGGGGTTAATAGTATTTTTGATTTATTTGGGAGGAATGTTGTATTTGGTTATATGACAGCTATGGCCACTGAGCAATATCCTGAGGTTTGGGTTTCTAATAAAGTTGTGTTAGGGGGATTTCTTTTAGGTTTAATGATGGAGTTTTTAGTGGTGGTGTACGTTTTAGAGAGTGAGAAGGTGGATATTGTATTTGAACTTAATGGGTTGGGGGATTGGGTTATTTATGATACGGGGGATTTCGGATTTTTTAGTGAGGAGGCTATAGGAATTGCTGCTTTATATAGTTATGGTACCTGATGGGTTATTGTCACAGGTTGGTCATTGTTTATTGGTGTTGTAGTTATTATGGAGATTACGCGGGGTAATTAAATAAGATTATGCTAAGGGTAACAGTGATGAGAAAAGACAGGAAGTAGAGTTTGATAAGGCCTTTTTGGTTTGGGGTTAGTGTGGAAGCCTTTAGTTGAGTGGAGGCTGTAGTTTTTGGTAGGATGGTTTCTATTCAGGTTAGGTCTAGTAAGGAAGTTGCTAGTTTTTGGCTTATTATTAGGTTTGGGTGAGGGGGTAGGCGATGTATAATTGTGGGGAAATATCCTAATAAAGTGGAAAATTTAGTGGAGTTTGATGGATATAGGTATTTTAAGTTTTGTGCATAGGTGTTAATTTCGAATGCGAGAATAAAGCCTAAGGTTGTTACTGCGAGAGCTGTTAGTTTTAGGTGTAAGGGTATAGTTATTAAGGGGGTGGTTATTGGAGGGATATTGTTGGAGAGGATAAATCCGGCGAAGATACTTCCAATTAAAAGCGTTTGATAGGGTTAATTAATATAGGGTTATTTTCATTAATGTTTATGAGAGGAGGGAAGCGAGGTTGTCCTAGTAGAGAAGATAATGCGAGTGCTGTAAATAGCTGTGAGGGAGGTAGCAGTTAAGGTTAGTAATAGGGCTCAGGCGTTGGTATAAGACGAAGTGGCGGCTTCGATGATAGGGTCCTTAGAGTAGAACACTGTGAGGAATGGTATTCCTGTAAGTGCGATGATAAGGGCGGTTGTGGTGAAGGGAAGAGTTTTGTATAGTCCTCCTATTTTTTGAATGTCTTGTTCGTTGTTTAGGTTATGAATGATGGAGCCGGAACATAAGAATAATATGGCTTTGAAGAAGGCGTGTGTGCAAATGTGTAGGAATGCTAGGTGAGGTTGGTTAAGACCGATTGTTACTATTATTAGGCCAAGTTGGCTGGAGGTGGAGAAAGCAATAATTTTTTTGATATCATTTTGGGTGAGAGCGCAAATGGCTGTGAACAAAGTGACGAGGGCACCTAGAGAAAGGGTTACTGTTTGAATGAGTTTGTTATTTTCTATTAAAGGGTAGAAACGGATAAGTAGGAAAATCCCTGCTACGACTATTGTGCTTGAGTGGAGTAAGGCTGAGACTGAGGTGGGACCTTCTATTGCTGAAGGGAGTCAGGGGTGTAGTCCAAATTGGGCTGATTTTCCAGCTGCAGCTAGTACAAGTCCTATGAGGGGAAGATTTGAGGAGTTTTGGTTGAGTATGAAAATTTGTTGTAAGTCTCATGCGTTTATGTTAAATAAGAATCATGCTATTGACATGAGGAATCCAATATCTCCGATGCGATTATATAAGATTGCTTGGAGGGCAGCTGTATTAGCGTCTGTCTGTCCGAATCATCAGCCAATTAGCAAGAAGGATATAATACCTACTCCTTCTCACCCAGTGAATAGTTGGAAAAGATTATTAGCTGTGACGAGGATGAGTATGGTGATGAGGAAAATAAGTAGGTATTTGAAGAATTGGTTGATGTGAGGGTCAGGGTGTATACATTATATTGAGAATTCCATGATAGATCATGTAATAAATAGTGCTACAGGTATGAATATGAGTGAGAAGTAGTCTATTTTGAAGCTAAGTGATAGTTTAAAGGTTGGATAGTAATTCAGTGTCAGTTTGAAATGAGTGCTTCTTGGTTTGTGTGAAGAAATATTATTGGGATCAGGCTAGTGATGAAGGCAGAAAGGGTAATATTTTTTACATAGTGTTGGTACTTGTCGCTTTTGTAGAGGTTTGTGTTAGATATTACGACGGGGGCAGTTAATATTAGTAATGTGAGTGAAGCAGAGGAAGTAAATAGGTTTATTACTTTTATTTGGAGTTGCACAAATTTTTTGGTGCCAAAGACCAATGGATAACTGTTATCCTTTAAAAGTTTGAAAAAGCCACACTGTTAGATGTGGGGGCATGAGTTAGCAGTTCTTGCAGTACTTTTTCAGTAAGTAAGAAGTTTTGATCTTCTATTACTAGCTTCACAAACTAGTGTTCTTTTTAAACTATACTTACAATAAAGGGGGCCTAAGATGATTTTGGGACTTAATGATAAGAGTAGTAAGGGAATGATGTGTAAGGCTATTAAGGCGTGTTCTCATGTGAAAGAGGGGGTGAGGTTGTTAATATGGTGAGTATGTTTGCCACCTTGTGTCGTGATTAACATGTATAGGGAGTAAAGGGCTGTGATTACAATATTTGTTCCTATTAGGATAATAGTGAGGTTTGATCACGAGAAAGCTGATATAACTACAAGTAGTTCTCCGATCAGGTGGATGGTGGAGGGTAGAGTGAGGTTTGTTAGGCTTGCTAGTAGTCATCAGGTCGTTATTAGTGGGAGAAGGATTTGTAGGCCTCGTGCTAGGATTATGGTTCGGCTGTGGATTCGTTTATAGTTCGAGTTTGCTAGACAGAAAAGTATAGAGGATGTAAGGCCATGGGCGACTATTAGAGCGGTAGCTCCTATGTAGCTTCAAGGGGGTTGGATGAGGATAGCTGCGATAACGAGTGTTATGTGGCTGATTGAGTATGCGATGAGTGATTTTAGGTCTGTTTGATGTAAACAGATGGAGCTGGTTATGATTATTCCTCATAAGGATAGCATGAGGAAGGGGTAAGCTATATGTTCTGTTGGAAGGTTAAGAATTGATGTAATTCGTAGCATGCCGTAGCCTCCGAGTTTTAGTAATACAGCTGCAAGGACTATTGAACCTGCGATGGGGGCCTCTACGTGTGCTTTGGGTAATCAAAGGTGTAGACCGTAAAGGGGTATTTTTACTAGAAAAGCTATTATGCAGGCTAGTCATATGAGGATATTAGATCAGGAAGTGGGTAGTGGTTGGGCTCAGTGTTGTAATAATAGAAAGTTTAGAGATGCTGATGTGTTTTGTAAGTATGTTAGTGCTACTAGCAAGGGGAGTGATCCTATGAGTGTGCAGAATAGGAAGTAGAGTCCTGCATTGAGTCGTTCTGTTTGGTTACCTCAGCGGGTGATAATGATGAGAGTGGGGATTAGTGTAGCTTCAAATATGATGTAGAATAGGATTAGTTCCGTGGCGGTGAATGTTATAATTAGAAGAGTTTGTAATATAATTAGTATCGTAATGTAAAGTTTTTTTCGGACGAGTGGTTCTTTGACAAGGTGGGACTGGCTTGCTATTAGTATTAAGGGGAGGAGTCATATTGTCAGGATTAAGAGTGGTGTAGAAAGGGGGGTCAGAGAAGAATATCAGAGAGTAATTGAGACTGTTGTCGTTGAATTGATTAAGTAGGAGTAGGCTGGTAAAGCTGATGAGTAAACTGTGGGTTGTGGTATTAATTCAGATAGAGCTGTGTTTTGATAATCAAGTTAGGGGTATCAGTATGATGGTAGGAATAATAAATTTTACCACTGGAGGAGGTTAAGGTTTTGTACGTAGTCAGTGCCGTATGTGTTGGAGATTATGACTAATAGGGCTAGTCCGATAGCTGCTTCACAGGCTGCAAATACTAGGAGGATAATTGGTATCATGCTGGCTAGGGGGAAGTGTGAGTTTAGGACTGTGAGGGCTGCTAGAATGAACAGTGATAGTATTATGCCTTCTAAGCAGAGTAATGCAGATATTAGGTGGGATCGGTATATTAATAAACCCATGAGGGATATGGTGAAGGCTATTAGGATATTTATATGGATTAGAGACACTTGGTATTTGTGAGTTTGGATCACAGTCTAGTGGGTCGACATCACTTGTTTTATTTTAAACTAAGTACCATATTTATCTCATTCTAAGCCCTTTTGGGTTCATTCGTAGGCTAGGCTAGCTGCTAGTAGGGAGATTAAGAATAGGGTCATAGTGAGTATTATTTTTAGGTTATTTGTTTGGGTTGCTCAGGGTAGGGGGAGTAGGAGGCGATTTCTAGGTCAAAGAGGAGGAAAGTAATTGCTACTAGGAAGAACTTTATGGAGAAGGGTAGGCGAGCGGACCCTATTGGGTCGAAACCACATTCGTAGGGACTTGTTTTTTCCGCGTATACGTTTAGCTGAGGGAGTCAGAAAGTGATAAATACGAGTAGTAAGGCTAGAGTTGTATTTGTTAATAGTGTTAGTAGGAGATTTATTGTTCTTTTTCGGGGTGCACCGAAACTAACTGATTGGAAGTCAGCTGTACTTGTTAATACTAAAAGGACTATGAACCTCATCAACAGATAGATACATAGAGAAATAGCCATACAACGTCTACGAAATGTCAGTATCGAGCAGCGGCTTCGAAGCCAAAGTGGTGGCTTGATGTAAAGTGGAATTTTATTTGGCGTATAAAGCAAACAATGAGGAAGGTGGATCTGATGATAACGTGTAGTCCATGGAAGCCTGTGGCCACAAAGAAAGTGGATCCGTAGATGCCGTCTGAGATTGTGAACGGGGCTTCCTAGTATTCTGATGCTTGGAGTAGGGTAAAATAAAGGCCGAGCATGACTGTGATGAAAGGAGCTTGAAGTATGTGTTTGCGGTTTCCTTCTATGAGACTGTGATGGGCTCAGGTGATAGATATGCCAGAGGCTACTAATACAGAGGTATTGAGAAGTGGGACTTCTAGGGGATTTAGGGGGTGGATGCCTGTTGGTGGTCAGCATCCACCTAGTTCAGGAGTGGGGGCAAGGCTTGAGTGGTAAAAGGCTCAGAAGAAGCCTGTAAAAAATAGGACTTCTGATAGGATAAATAAGATTCTTCCATATCGAAGTCCTTTTTGGACGGTTGGTGTGTGGTGGCCTTGGAAAGTGCTTTCTCGGATAATATCTCGTCACCATTGGTATACTGTTAGAATGTTTGTTAGTAAACTTAAAACTAGTAGGATTATTGAGTTGAAGTGGAATCATATGATTAGGCCTGATGTTATAAGAAGTGCTGAGACAGCTCCTGTAAGAGGTCAAGGACTGGGATTTACTATATGATATGAATGGGTTTGGTGGGTCATTATATATTGTCATGCAAGTATAAGCTTACTAGTAGAGTGAATACGTAGGCTTGAATTAAGGCGACAGCGAATTCGAGGATGGTTAATAGAGTGAGGATAGTGAATGTGATGAGGGCTGTGAATAGGCTGGTACTTATTAGTGTGAGAGTTGTACTTCCAATTAGATGTAATAACAAGTGGCCTGCTGTAATGTTGGCAGTTAGTCGTACAGCTAGTGCTACTGGTTGAATAAGTAGGCTAATAGTTTCGATAATTACTAATATGGGAATGAGGAAAGTGGGTGTGCCTTGTGGTAGAAGGTGGGCTAAGGATATTTTTGCCTTATTACGGAAGCCCGTAATGACAGTACCGGCTTATAGAGGAATAGCTATTCCTAAATTTATTGAGAGTTGGGTGGTAGGTGTAAATGAGTGGGGTAATATTCCAAGAAGATTTGTAGAGGCAATAAATAGGAGAAGTGAGATGAGTATTAGAGATCAGGTTTGTCCCTTGGGGTTATGTGTATTTATTAGTTGTTTTGATGTAAGTTTGGTTAATCATTGTTGGATGGAAACTGTGCGATTGTTAATTAGTCGATTTGGTGTTGGGAATAGTATAGTAGGGAATATAATGATTAGAGTGGTGATACGAATACCAGGGTAGTGGTGGTGATAGGAATATCTTCCTGGCAGAATAGCCAGGAAGGGAGAAATGCTATGGGGTGTGTGTGTGATAGTAGAGTGGGGAGATGGTTTCCACAAAATGGTATGTATAAAAATGAGCTCTGGGGGTAGTGATAAACAGCAAAGTCAAGAGAAAATGGTAATATATTAAAATTCTTTTCTTGAGGGGCCATCAAGAATGTACTTTTAGAGATTATTGTGAAGTGTCTTTTATGCTTTCAGATATTACTTTTGATGTTAATAGTGGAAATTAAAACTATCCTGCTTGCATATAGCTTTCTTGCCTAAGTGCTTTCACGTACCTTATTTATTTGAATGTTACGACATCATTCTAAGGCGTGCAGGCTGATTTCATATGATTCCATTTTGGCATCATTAGTGGAAATAATTAAGCTTTGGCGTGAGATGGGCAGGAGTTTCAAATCTTAGCTCCTTATTTACTAGTTGTATGACCCTGGCCTTGGCAAGCTATTAGCCCTCTGAAACTCAGCTTCCTCATTTGCTCACTAAATCTGGCTCTTTCGCATAACTACCTGAGAGGATGCTTCAGAGGACACAATGAGATAACCTCTGTAAAATGTTGGCCATAAGGAACACTCAATAAGTGCTATTTCCCTTTGTGTGCGACTTCAAATCCACATCTGCCCTTTCACATGTGAACTGCCGTTAGACTGTATAGTTAGGTTTTTTGTTTTCTGTGTGCTGGCTCTGACGCTAGAATTGAGACGAGTAAACAATAAGCAAATGATCACTATAAATGCTTAATGGCACTGTGAGTGTAATATAAAACCACAAGTCCATTGAATGTGATGAATCAGACTTCTATTAGTACAGATGACCTCCCTGAATCCACACTGACCAGAGTCCTTCAAGATTACTGCTATTACATGGAGTCGCATGTTAAGGAGTAGAACCTCACCAGTTAAAATTTTGTAGGGCATGCGCACTGACGTTCTGTCAGCACGCTGATAATTTTTTTATTAATGACCGCCTCAGGCTTAGGGCACCCTCTCCTAACATTCTGCCATCTGGGAGAGCCTTTCTGTCTTTGGCGTCATGTACCCTAGTTTACTCACAGGGGAAGGACGGTAGGAAAAGGGATGGTTATCAGATTCTGCTTTGCAGTATGGCTGGGATTCTTAGTAACAGCTGATGCTAATCTAGCCCCTCTTTGTGCCAACCTGGAGCTGATTTTCTCCTGGATTTCTGGGCCCCTCCTCTTTCCCTTTCCTCCTTTATCTCTGCTCAGCATCCTTTTACAGTCTACTTTGCAGAAGTTTCTTCCTCCACTGGTTTCCCAGCATCCTATACTTGGTCCCCTTTCTTGTCTTCTTCTGTACTTGCCTAGGATGGTCCCAGCCACATCCCCACCTGCAGCCCAACCCGCCGGTATCCTTCTGTCTGCCAAATCAGCATTTGCAGCTCGCATATCCAACCTATCAGGACTCTGCACTCTGTTTTCCTACAGAGACCTCAGAAATTTATTTTAAACATTTAAAAATTAATTTTAAAATGTCTTTGCTTTACCCTTGCTCCCTATTGATTTAGCCTGAATCAGAGAATGGCAACATTAATCCAAATTCAGAGACCTAAGAGTCAACATTGACACCTCCCTCTGTGCCCAGAGCTAATTACCCAGCAAGTCTTGTTAATTCTATCACTTCACTATCTCTGAAATTCCCCCTTTCCCCTTGGCACTCTCTGATTAGGAGAAGAAGAACATAGTGGCTAAAAGCATCAGTTTGGGGTCCGATTCCTAGGGTTTCTACTTAATAGCTGTGTGGTTATGAGTAAGGACCTTAGCCTTCTTGAGCCTTGGTTTCTTCATCTGTAAAATACGGATAACATCTGATTCGTTGCTTAAACGAGTAAGTGTTTGGTATGTAGGCCACGAGGAGCCCTCCACATAGTTATGTTTTAATCAGTTTCTCATCTCAGTTACACCAGTGCTTTGACTTGGGT